AGGCCCACATGTGAGGGGATGGACTATAATTAGTTTTTGGGTGGTGAACATGATGTAATCCACACAGAATTAGAAATATATTATGATGTACATCCAAAAGCTATATAATGTTATAACCCAATGTTACTGCAATTAAAAAAAAATAAATATTAATCTAAAAAAACATATAAAAGAATCAATCTTTAAAAAAAAGAAATAGAAGCTTAAAATATTATTTAAAATTATAAAGTCATCCATAGGGGAAATAAAAATAATTACAAAAAAGTAAGAGAGGAGGATAGGTGGGAGAGCATTAGTGTTACAAATCCCTCGCTTTTAGGAAGATGCAGACAACCACCAGGAGCACTAACACCAAAAAGAGTTTAAAACGGTTAATTTGAGGGAGTGTAATCAGGTTTGGATGCTGGGAGAAACGCAGAGGCATCTAATTATTATTTTTAATAAGAGTAAGAAGTCTAATGAGCTCTCCCTTTTTTAAATAAAAAATATTTTTTTCCTCTTAAAAGGCATTTAGTAAACTATAAAATGTCACGTTGTGGGGCCGGCCTGGTGGTGCAGCGGTTAAGCGCGCACGTTCCGCTTCTGCGGCCCGGGGTTCGCGGGTTCAGATCCCGGGTGCGGACACGGCACCGCTTGGCAGGCTATGCTGTGGCAGGTGTCCCACGTATAAAGCAGAGGAAGGTGGGCGTGGATGTTAGCTCACGGCCAGTTTTCCTCAGCAAAAAGAGGAGGATTGGCGGGAGATGTTAGCTCAGAGCTAATCTTCCTCAAAAAATAAAAATAAAAGTAAATAAATAAAATGTCACATTGTCACAGTGGTGTGTTTGAGATAGATAGATGTGTGTGTGTGTATACATATATACACACCATATGTATGTTTGATATATACATATATTGTGTATGTGTATATACACCAACATATGTTTGATATATATATATATAATGTGTATGTATATATACCATATATGTTTGATATATATATACAGCATGTTATACATATCGTATACAAATATATTTTAAAGATACAGACATAAAATAAACAGGAAACAGTTTCAGAGAGGTGATTTATTTATTATGCCCTAAATTATACAACTAATTAGGGGAACTGGATCAGTCTAGGTCTTTCCCCGCTAAGACACAATGTCCATTTATAAATTATTCTTTTCTAAAGAGCTCCAAAGGAAACCCTTTTGGTATTCTCGCTGAGAAATTCCAGCTAATAAGACCCAGTTCCAGCTGTCTTGGCCCTGACACCCCCAGCCTCCTCCACCCAACATTTCCCACCCAAGTCAAGCACTCACCATAAATCCGTCTAACTTGAACACCTACTGGATTTCTTCTTCTTCAACTGAGTTGCCATAAATGACCAAACGTTTAAAATCAACGTCTTTATTTTTGAGCTAGCTTTTTAAAAACTGTGATGAAAGCAACGTCCATGGAAGAAAAAGATCACAGTCCCACAGCAGAGTTCTTGATTATGTTATGAACAACAGAAACCAACTCAGGCTATTTAAGCAGAAAAGGAATTTCTTGCAAGGCTATCAAGTAGCTCACAGAATCCACAGGAACCAGGCTCAGAAACCCAGGAAGGAGCCAAGGGAAGCTGGGTACTGGGACCTCTACCAAGGTCATGCCACAGGAAGACCAGGTTCCTGTCTGCCAGCCTTGGACACCAGCTGCCTTTTTTGCCTAATGAATTCTAAGCTGCCCCGGCTAATCTGCATCAATGGCTCCAGCTGCAGCGCCTGGGGCAGGAGCTTCCGTGGGTGGAGGTCACAGGCTCACACCCTGACTGCTGGATTTCGGGAGTGTAAGCATCTGGCCTCAGGAGCTTCCATAGCTGGAAGTGGGGCCTGCCTCTCACATAAAGGCAGATAAATCAACCCCAAAAAGAGAGTTCAGATACTGCAGGAACCGATGGCCAAAACCCAAACAAAACACGACGAAACCAGGCTCCTCCTCACACAATACAAGTCCTCTCCAGATATAAAGTGGAAAGGTAAAATTTCCCTCCTTCCCATTCCCGCGGCACTCAACAGAAGTGCCTACCATAAACAGTTTCTTCCATCTTTTCAGAAGTTTTCCATGTAACTACAAACACATGTATATGATCCCCCAGGTTTAAGGAAAACACACAAATGGTAGCATATATATTATTCGGCAACTTTTCACATGATGGTGCATCTGTTTTAAGATGCTCCCCAATTCAAAATGGTCTCCCCTCTTGCCCCAAATCATTCATAGTTCATGCAGTTTTCACTGCCATATTCAGAATGGATCACTATAGTGTTTTAGGCCCAGACAGCCTGGATGCAGGATAGAGAGAGGGCGCAGATACTCACATACTAGTACAGCGAGTCTGTGATGCACTTTGAAATACTTCAGCACAGACAGTGTGCTACCATGTACATATTGGTTGCTTCAAGTAATACCCTAAAGACAGTCAGGAATTCATCTTCCAGGATAGTTATCTAGCGTTTATGAGAAAGGCCACAGTCCAGAAGCTTCCTTTATCTTTATCTCCCAACAACATCCACGTGACTTTGCTAAGTTAGCATGGTGACTATGGAAAGGATTGTCCAACTGATGAAACTATTAGCTTGTTTAATTAGCGTAATGGATGTTAAAAACAGATTCTCTGTGAAATCTGTGGTGAGAAATAAAACCAACATAATTTCTTATCTCTATGTTAATCATTTCTGGGACCAGCCATATTTTTCTGATCCTACAGTAAATAACACTGAGAATAAGCAAAAATAACCAACTAAAATGGTTTCTCAAAACTCCCAGCTTACTCATCAAATCTTGCTTCAGACGCTCCCCTCCATTTGCCCACCAATCCAAAGCTATTACACCATAAACTCTGCCCAAACCTAATCAATTCCTTCTATCATAAGACTCACCTTAAAGTCACCCCGCCAGGGCCCTCAAAGCCTATAAATATCCTCCCTTTGGCTCACGCCTCTGAGAAGTCAAGGAGGCGTTCTCTCCGACTGCAGCAGGGCCAATAAACTGAGCTTTGCTTGATCAGCAGGATTTCGGGGAATGGGCAGTGGTACTCAAGACAAATGGATGCAACAAATATTAGAGGTAAAAAATTGTTCACACTCTGTTCTGTAAGCTGGAGAAAAATCCGAGTTCTCCAACCTTTAAGTGTTCAGAACAGAGTGTGTGAACAATTTTTTTTGTCTGTTTGCTAAGAAGTGTTTGCACGTATGGCAGAATTTGGTCTGAGGCTCACTTCCACTCTAACAATTGACTTGATGGGAAGGTCACTTCGAAGGTCTGGCAATTACGCGCTGCTCCCCATCTAAACCAGCTAATGCAAGCAGACCCAAATGGCTGAGGTCAGTTTGGAAAGCAAAGTTCTGCCCAGGCCTGACTCTGCCCAGAGATGGGCTGCGCGAAGTGCTTCCAATTTCTGAAGATGCCAGGTGCCTACCCAGGGCACAGTTCCTGGGAGCAGGGGATCAGAGGAGATAAAGGAAAGCTCTGCTGCCAATGGACTAAACCCACTGTGGTCACAGATGAGCCCGAGCCCAGCCCAGGGAGCCGTCACGACACCCAAGTGCATCCTTGCCGCCATGGGTTACCTAATGACACACCAAACTGGGAGACCAGATCTTCTCTTGGAGATTTTCTCAATGGATGATGAAAAAGAATTCATAATGTGCTTGCCTAGCCCTAGGCTCTATTTTCCATTTTATAGTTTCAACGTGCATTTGTGTCTACAATTTCACGACAATTCTGAGGGATGCGTGTATTCTCATTGTACAAATGAGGAAGCTGATTGCATAATCTCCTTGGCCACTCGCTGATTAAAAGTGAGAGGACTAAGATTCAGAATTGGACCTTCTGTTGCCTTGTTTGTTTCTGCCTCTGGCTTTTCTGAGTCAAGGATAAAATTCCTGAAACTTTTGCCACTTTAGACCTTGAAAAAGAGTTAGACAGTCACAAATAGGAAAATAACATTTAAATTATGTTGCCAACAAACACACACACCATTCTTGGCCACAGAGAAGTACTTACCCATGTGTAGTGGAGGTGATGGAATGGTACAATGAAATGAACACTGGATTAGGAGTCAAAGCCCCTAGGTTCCTTCTAATAATAGCTCATTTGCTTGTGAACTGGACAAGCCAGTTAACTCCTGAGCCACTGGTCCCTTATCTCTAAAACAGGAATGATTATCTGCCATACAAATTACATGAGAAAGGTATATGAAAGAACCTGGTAAACTCTTACGTATCATATGCATGCAAGAGAGTAGTATTAATAATTTTCAAGAGTGAGAACAGTCATTCATTTTTACGCCTTAAACCAAGAGTGAAATAATCATAGTATTTCAGTCCATACACAAGGAGCTTATAATGGCCTGTTGACACGGCCCATGTAAAGTTAAACACCATTAAGGTAACTAAAGAGGATTCTGGAACCCATAATACGAGTGCTAGAAGGACTCTTAAAAGATTGTTCCAATCTAAGCCCCTCATTTTATAGACACAGAAATCATATTTCCCCAAGGTCACCCAATAATTAGTGGTAACATGTCAGCCTTAAAATGCAGATTTCTAGAACTCTCAAAGCATGGCTCATTCTAAATTACTGACAACCATGAAACATACTTGAAAGAATCAGGTTGGGGCCGGCCCCCTGGCCGAGTGGTTAAGTTCGCATGCTCTGCTTCGGCGGGCCAGGGTTTCACTGGTTCGGATCCTAGGCACGGACCTGGCACCGCTCATCAGGCCACACTGAGGCGGCGTCCCACATGCCACAACTAGAAGGACCTACAACTAGAATATACAACTACGTACTGGGGGCTTTGGGGAGGACAAGCAGAAAAAAAAAAAAAAAAAAGATTGGCAACAGATGTTAGCTCAGGAGCCAATCTTTAAAAAAAAAAAAAATCAGATTGCATAAAGCCAGAGCTCAGAACTCGTTTTATAGAGGTACAGATCCCTAAACTGCACCTGGGTATTCTGACCCCTCCTGTTCTTCAGATCACCAGGAACGAAAGGACCACCAGCTATCTTGCAGCAGAGCCCACCTATAACTATTTCTGACTACCTGGTGAGGCTAATTCCTCCATCTCTTTTGACAAAGAGTCTGGGTGTTTCATGACTCTCCCTTCAAGGCACAATAAGATGGAAAGAACCCGGATCCCCAAGTGGCTTCATGGAGCAGAACCGTCTTGCCAGCCTACCCTACTTAAACTGTTAGAAGAGGTGGGAGAATATCTGGATATCTTACTTAAGCCATGTTTGAGTCTCTAAGGGTAATGAAGCTTTATCCTTAAATACTATAATCTCGAAGTTAGAAGAGAAACTGCTGGATCATTTTTGTAAATAGGCAATTCATTTACCTCTTCTATTCTTCATCTAGGGTGCCAACCAAGAGGACTCACAGTTGAGAATAAACCACAGATGCGACCCAAGAACATCACCAGGGGAAAACCTTCATTCTTGGTGCTAAAGAATAAAGCTGTCCTTTTATCAGCCCTAAGGTCATATTCATCCCATCTGTTCCAAACTGACAAGAAAAAAAAAATAGCTCAAATTACCACTTCAGACGCAACCAAAATTATAGGCAGAATGGCTGACTGGGCTTTTCACAGCAACGGTTCTTACCAATGAAGCACTAAGCACAAACGTCTCATTAAGACAATTCTGTTTTCTAACTGAGGGGCTTCGACAAGACGATCCTAGAGGTCATTTCCAGAACTGAGTCTGTGATTTCTAAACACTTCTAAAACATTGTATTAGAATGAAAAAAGAATGATATCTAAAAGAAGTAAGAACATTCTTTAAAAATGGAAAACGTCTGTTCTTCATGGAAAACACACAACCTAGAACACTACACACCCACATACACACACACACACACACACACAAATGCACGCACATGCACACAACTCCTAGCTTAACCCCAATCACAGCCAAAACCAGCTACAAATATTTACAAACTGTTTTCTAACATTATTATTTTTGTTCTGGACACAGGAGTATTTTACCAGTTTAAGGAAGAGAACCCAGTGAATGAGAGCTTCCAATTCTGAGTTTCCATGAAAACCTGAGTTTGAAGGAACTAGGTCAAATTGACCCTTCTTTCTTCAAACCAGTATAAAACCTGATGTAATCCCAGAAATAATCACAAAAGAGGGAGCACAAATATAAACAGTTCTCAAAAGGAAATATTCAAGTGTTCTAGACTGGTATGCACCCAACAACTTAAAATGAGGACAGCCCGCCTCTCCAAGGCCCCTAAAATGACCAACCTGCCCCCTCCCGACCACCAAAATGCTCTCTAACCACCCTGAAGTTAAAAGGAGATGAATAGAAAGTTCTAGAGAACAAAAGCAAGTGAGAGAAATTTAAGACAAAAGTAAAAGAGAAACTTTGAGAACTCACCTAGGACCTAAATTTATAATTGGCTGCCAAATTAACTCCACGGTCAACGACAGACGTGTCTTGAGCACAATGGCCCTGGGGACACAGGGTGAAGAAGGCTGACAGGACCTCTGTCCTCACAGAACTGACTATTACTATGACAGACAACACGCACTAAATGAAAGCACACAGGCTAATTACAGACTGAGAAGCCGGGATCCAGTGCTGGCACACGGGAAGGGGCAGAGACAAGAGGCCACTGTAATCAGGGTGGTTAGGGAAGGTCTCTCCCAGGAAATGACTGCTGAGCTGAGACCCAGAAGAGAAAGGGCCAGCCAAGCAACCAGCTAGGGGAAGAAGGTCCCAGGTTTGTGGCAGACGGCCTGGCCGTGTCAGAATCAGAAGGTGCCCTGTGGGTGGAGTGTGGGATGCAAAGGGGAGAAGGGCTGGAACTCTGAGCACCTAAGCCCAAGTCTGCAAGAACAGAGGCCTACAGGGCCCTCCTGGCTTCTCGAAGGAACATGGCCTCCCACTCAAAATCCCCCAATGGTACATTCCCTCAACTCAGAAAGGGGGTGGGGGCGAGGCAAAAAAAAAAAGTAAAGTTACGTATCCACTAAATGGGGGGATGGTATGGTGGTAAAGCCACTCCTTGGTGTCACAAGATTATCCTCTCTGTTCAGAAAAGAAAACTAGACTCAGATAAGTTATGTGGCTTGCACAGAGCTACACAGCTCTTCAGGGGACGAGCTAGGACCCAAAGGAGGAGGGTCTGACCCGACCCAGTTTCTTTCATTACATCATATGAGTTTTTTGGTTTTATTTATTTGTTTTTCTAGTGAGGAAGACTTGCCATGAACATCTGTGCCAATCTTCCTCTGTTTTGTATGTGGGACACCACCACAGCATGGCTGGATGAGCAGTGTGTAAGTCCTCGCCTGGGATTGGAATCCAAGAATGCTGGGCCACCAGAGTGGAGCATGAGACTTAACCACTGTGCCACTGGCTGGTCCCAGACTTTTTTTGTTTTTAAACATAATAAAAACATTAGCACAGGTTATAATGACATACTTAATGATATACTATTAAGATTCATGTGGACTGAGGATTTTTCATTTATGATACTGACTAAGGCTCAATGATCTGTTGATATACTCAGAAAGTTTTCCCTTGCACAATACCTGTCAATTAATTTATCTTCTTTATAAATCGATGTTAATTAACATTTCAAACAATCTCTACATGACCTTCTAAATACACAATTCATAACAAAGTATGGAAGCTCAGGTTCTAACAGGCTCATATTGATGGTAATATAGAAATATGACAGAATGCTACTTATCAATGTTAAGTGATAGGCATGTGGACTCCTCATACATGGAAATATAATATTTACTGATATGAACTTAGTTAATTTAATATTAAACAGAAAAGCAGAGCACAAGATGGTGTGTACAAACTGGCTACAACTTTGTGACAAAGTACATATACTTATCAACAAAGATGAGAAATAATTACAGTCATTTTCATTTGAAGTTGCTTGAGCTCACATAATAAATTTATAAGGCATCTTTCCAAGAGAAAACAATGTTAAAGAAATAAACGTCTTTAAAGGTGGACTTTCTTAGTATCTACCTAGAACACGTGCTCATATTCTCTTCATCATTTAGAATTTTTAAAGTACAAAAAACATTAGGGATTTTCTGATTTAAATTTAATTTAAATATCTGAGGTTTGTGTTACTGAGCATTTCAATCTTGATCCAATGGAGAAAGACAGCGCAAAGATGACTCCTATAGCCAAATATTAGTATAAACATTGAACACCATCCAAAATTGTTCTGCAGAGACTGTAAACCCAGAGATTGTTGCAAAACAAACCTCAGCCACTCATAACACGTGCCATAAAACTCATCCAGAGTCTCATTTCCTCCTATCCTGCTACCTAATATATTAAAATGCTGCATCAATAATTTACTCCTTCCAGAAATATGAACAGAGTTTCACTAAATGCAATAATTGATATACCTGTAAAATGTTGCCTAAATTGTCTTGTGGGGCTGAAAACTCTTTAGTTTAGTTTTTCAAGACCATCAACACAGTATTGACCCATCATTCTGACTGTATTCTACAGTGTGCTTCTCCTCCTTGTATTTAAGAATTTACCTAGTTTTGTATTAATTCCCCATCACTTAGAAGCAGTGGTCTGTTAAAGACGAACTGTTAAGTATCCATACAAGATGACTTCAGAAAATTATTTAATCCTACTTCAAAACGGATGGGAGAAAAACCAAAATAAGAGATGTTATATAAAAAAAAATCTAAGTATAGTGCAAATCCAATTTCCTAGACCCTCTACTTTATCCTTGAAAGTTGGCAACTCCATTGGCAACTGTCTGATTTTTAATAGCATTCCCTGAATCAAAAGGACACAGCAAACGAAAACAAAGGATGAACATTGGGAATGTACTCAAGGCCACTGAAGCGTACACGTTAAAACGGCTAATTTTATAGAAGGTGAATTTTACCTAAACAACTAAAAAACAGATATGGTCCCCAATATATGTCTATGTCACCATGAAAATATAATATTTGTGTGATAAACAGAATATATAAAATCTAAGCAATGAAACTCTGAGGTTGTCCAACCAAAGCACTGTAACAATAAGAAATTATATATTCATGATTAAATCTGAGATTTGCTTCAAAAGAATACGAAGGAAAAAAAGCATATGGAGGGTGAGGGTCCAGTTGAACAGGATCAGCTATGAATCGATCGCTGCCGAAGCCGTGTGACTGACAGATTATTCCTGCCATTTTTCTACATGTTTAAAAACGTCCATAATAAACTGGTTTTTTTTTAAATTATTATATCTTTACAATAGGTTTAATCTTGGAACTAGGAACACATGGCTAGCATTGGGTATATAAGAAGCTCAAAGTGAATCAGAAAACTGGCAAAATTATCATCTTACTTTACTGTGATGAGAACATCTGAGTTCTAACGTTGTCCATTATTGTTAGCTTCTTTTAATGAACAAGGAAGCTTTAGCATTTCTTCAGTGGCTATTTCAACAGCCCTCATTCGTAGCGCATTTTACAAAGGGTAACAAGTTATAAGGTCAGTACATACCAGGAGGATCATAGGCCGTTTCCAAGTTGTCAATCCTATGATTCCAGAGAGGATCACCTAGGAGGATAAACAGTATCATAAATCTAGAAAGTGGACCAATTCCAATAAACTAATCCCTAATCTCTAAAGTATGGATTTTTAAAAATACTCAAATTTCAAAGCCTTCTAACCCAAACATTTAGTATTCCTGCTGATCACAGGAGCCCTGGCAGACCACTCTGGAAGATCCTTCACATCCAAGACCACAAAGCCTTTTGATTGACTGTGTATGTTTTTTCTTAAGGTCAGTTAAGAACACACAAACAGAAATCAGCCTATCCTTCTAGTTAGTGGAAGAATCACCATTTTGGATCCAAGCTCCCTGCCCCCAGTAGCACCTAATCTGCTGCCAGAGTCAGCCTCATAAGATGCACGTCTGGCTGCAACCCTCCCTTCCAACCCTCCCAACCCAACCGGTAGCTGGGTACCCATCCTTTATGGGACAAGTAAGCTCCTCAAAACGGTAAGCAAGGCCTCGCAGGATCTTCCCTCCCCCCACTTCTCCAGCCAGGCTTCCCTGTCCCCCTGCCCCTCCCACCACACACCTTCCTTCCAGGCACACCTGTCCTCCTCAGCCTGGCCAGGTTCTAGACATTCCAGCGCCTTGCATTTCTCTTCGCTGCAGTGTCTCTAGTCCTCCCTCCTAGTACCTGAGAACTCCTATTCATCCTGCAAGATCCTAACAGTCACCTTCACTGATTCCACCACCCCACACTCTTGGATGCCCTCTACTTATCACTTTTCCAAAAAAACCTCTCTATTGCAATGATTTGAGAGGTGCCTCTCTGTCTTGCCCACTGATTGTACACTCTGATCTTCTCTCTCTGCATCCCCAGCTCCCAGCACAGTGCTTGTCACATGATTGGCAACTAATAAATGTCCCTGAGCACTTATTCCACAAAGGGAGCGGGGCTACACTGAGAAAGACCTCATGCTGCAAAATGATACTTCAAACCACAGGCTAAAATCCTCCGTAAAGAGGAAGCAGCTTTTTGCCAAAACGTAAACTGTAAACCAACATCAGCTCTCTGGATGACATAGTTCACTACGCAGTTGGGAAAGCACAAAGTAATTATTCAGCCCAGGACATTCTGATGCCATTTGAGCACATTTACCTTTGTGTAACAAAGCGCACCTGCTGAATGCAATTACGAGGGTTTTCCTTCATGTGCACTTTTACCAAAATCCCCCAAATGCACCAATTCATGATGACTGTCTAGTAACTAGAAATCGGCAAGGATTTTATAGTGTTTCTTCACATCCAAAGCCCACAGGCTTGCTTGCAATATTCTCCATTCTCCATTTACTAGCTGAGAGTAATCACTCCGTAACATCAAACCAGCAGAGGACAAGTCCACCCACTTAGATCAAGGACCAAAAACCATGTATGGGCAGATAGGTGACAACTTCCTTGCATCCCGTCTATGTTTAAACATCCTGCCAGCTGCCTGCCCACCAGGCGCTATATCCTTGCAATCATCTTAAATTCAATAGGCTGTTCCCTCACTCTAAGGGATTTCTACCCGGAGACACGCAGGGCGTGTGTGTCTGGCCTCAAGAGCGCGGGCTGTTCCGACTTTACAAATTGGGACTTAGAATCCACGAGACCTTGGGGTCCAGGTTCCCCACTTGGCTTCTAAATAACTGTGTGACCTTGGCCAAGTCATGTCACTTCTCCTGTCCTCCCTCTCGTTTCCTTAGAAATGTGTTAAGTGGGGGGCCAGCCCCATGGCCGAGTGGTTAAGTTCGTGCACTCCGCTTCAGCGGCCCAGGGTTTCGCCAGTTCGGATCCTGGGCGCGGACATGGCACCGCTCATCAAGACATGCTCAGGTGGCGTCCCACGTGCCACAACTAGAAGGACCCACAACTAGAATATACAACTATGTACTGGGGAGCTTTGGGGAGAAAAAGGAAAAAATAATAATAATAAAAAGAAAAAAAAAGAAATATGTTAAGTGAAGGAAACCACCTCTGGGTCCCTTCTAACTCAAAAATTCATCCCGCTGTGATGATCGTAATTCCTCTAAAACCCTGCAATCCAGCGCTGGCTCCACCGTGCAGAGGCAGACTGTGCGCGGGCAGGCACGCTCGCACGGACGTGTGCATGTTAAGTCCCTGCATGTGTGTGCGTGTGTGTGTCCCCATGTGTGTGTGCTACCTGCCTGCCCGCCCTGCCGCTGACTGGACTTTGCTGAGGAAACGCAACTATTTTTGTGAAAATGTAACTGAAAATTTGACTGCCCTTGAGGGAAACACAAACTGCCCACTTCACTAAAACATGAATATGACTTGAATATCAGTTAGTGTTTGATATTTATGCCATCGGTCTCCATTAACACAGAACCCTGTGGTTCAGCTTTTTGGAACACACTTTTTCCCATTAAAACAATATTATTATTAAAGTGAAGGGTCTGGCCCAGCCCATAAAAGCCCATAAAAATAGTGATATGCCTAAACTATACATCCTACCTCCCCCACCGGCCACAACACCCCACCCTCCTCCACATTAACAATTTAGTAAGTTTACATATTATACTTATGTACATATTTTTTTCTCTGAATTCTTATCACTAAACACACAGGTGTATATGTGAGTGTGTGTGTGTGTATAGAAATGCACAGGGATGTGATGTAATTTTTACAAAAAGATACCTTTCCTTCTCTTCTTT